CAGCTTATTGTAATTAGACTTTAGGTGAGGAGATCGACAAGACAGAAAAGAGGCCATCAATACTCACAATGTGCTCATCATCCTTCTGTTGTCTCAACATAAAGCTACTCAATCAAAGAGACGTAAGCAAAAACAAAGTATGCACTCTTAAGGATAAATGCGCCCAATTAGGTCATTAGGATAAAAATATACAATTTCTCTGCAGAATATTGCATCTCAGAAATGAATATCAGCATGTTTTTCATTATTTTTCTTTGCCAATAAGATTTTCAACTGAATATTTTTTTTTACCTGCCTGATACTTTTTCTATTAGCATAACATCCAATTAGTGCCGTAATTTTCTGCTTGTAATCTGAGATTTGCACAGTGACTGCAGAGAAGCTATTGCAAATGTCGTTCTGTCTGATAGGAGGGACGTTTAAGGGTGTGTCGACGCCTGCAGATTTACTCACTTCAGTCACGCTATTCCATTATTTTGGAGTGGAACTAACTTAAAGGTTGTTTGCAGGTCAGACTGAGTTTAATCTAAAGTCATTTTCAGATGGAAGGACACAGAAAGACAGGAAGCAATGATGCTCATTCCTGAGCAGCTTTTAAATGCTGCTCTGATCAATACCCAGATGGCTTTTTTTTTGAGAGATGTTATAACTACTGTTAAAATATCCACCTGTGCTGACTTCAGTGTTGGATGACTTTGAGGAAGTTTAGATTCATATGGCAGCCTTAAATCTGTTGCTAGATGTTACACTGTTAGCTAGAAGTGTAACTCAGACATCCTCAGCCATTCGACACATTACAGTATGAGGTGGGACATATCATTCTTAGTTAAATAACTAAATACAGTAGATAAATACACATTTTACAAATCTTTAAGAGGTTGGTGGCAAAAAAGGGATATGAAACAAAAAGATAAAAATGAAACATTTGGTCAAACTAGAGGCTTACTCCTCTAAAATGATTTATTCAGTTTGGATTTCTCCAGCAATCAGAGGACCTGACCAATGCTTCATATGAAGGCCAGGGTGGGTTGGATGATTGTGACATTGACAAGTTCATGTAATCTTAATGATTATGGTGTGCAAACAAATGAAAACCAAACTTCAATGTCTTAGAGAAGAAAAAAATACCTTAGATGATTAACTCAGATAACCAGAAAAGGTTCCTTGAGTCTTGAAGCCGTCTCTTAGTCTTAATAACTTCCAGGTTGGGTGGAGGTTTGAAGAGGACCCAAATGCAGAGAATGAAGCTGAGGTGGTTTCTTGCAAGTTTAGTTAAAAATATGGTAACTGGAGCAGAATCCAAACAAACAAAATCCACAAGATCCAAAAATACTTAAATCCAGAAAAAAACTTAGAAGAGGGGGTAAAAAATGATGAGGAAACAGCAACAGTGACTGAGCAGGAGGTGTATATATGGCAGAGAGAAACAAAGACCAGGCTAATCAGCAGATCGGGAGCAGGGGTGCAGAGAGGAATCTAGAAGGGAGCTAGAGGAAAGGACACTGATGCAAGAAGGCAAACAAAATATACCAAAGAACTCAAATGCAATCACAAATAACGAGAACCACAAAATGGAAATAAAATCAATGAAAACTCCAATATAAAACTTAAACAGAACCAAAACCATGACAATAACTTACAACACAATCTTGACAATCTTGACTAAGACAGTTAACTGTACAGAACTCAAGAGGGCAGGCATTGACACTGTTCACAAGGAAAACAGCTGCATAATATTATTGCTAAAGAAGTTGGTTGTTTCCAGATTACTAATCCTCACCGATATATGAAGCCATATTTTGAAATTCATGGAAAGTCAAAATCGCAGTAAGCCAAGGTGCGCCAGCCACACGGATCATTTCATCTTTCTAAAGATTGTCAGGAAAAGCCATTCAAGAATTTGAACAGGTGACTTCTACTCATGGGCTATAAAGGTTTTTCTATCTGAGACAAAGAACCGGACAGGTGTTTGTGGCTGATTTCAGAAAAGGCTTAGAATCTGGAGGAAGAATAAAGAGGGACAGAATTCACTTAGCTGGAATTCTAGTGTCACATTTCTAGAGTTCAGTGTTTATTTGTGGTGCCATTTCATCGGCTGGTGTCACTGACTTTTCTGAAGTCAATTGATTGCCGATCACTTCTTTATTGAGTCAATCTTTATGGAGATGCTGGCCTCATTTTCCAGTAAGGTCCTTAAAGCTGGTTCAGTGGCCATGGTGTTTCCGTGCTTGACTGGTCAGCAAACACGACTATCAGGGAGAAAATAAAATACACCAGATTCATCAAAGCAAATGAGTGACCTGAAGCTCACTATCAAAACAGTTGGCTGATTACAGCCATGCCGTGGCGCAATTAAGTATTAAGTTTTTAAAAATTAGCTTTTTTTATTTTCTAATAAAAAAGCAAGACTGAAATATCAATTTATTGATTTTGTTAAATATTCAAGTTCACTAACTGACTCAATTGGCATTTTTGTTATCAGTAAATCCCCATCATCATAATAAGAAGAAATGAAGGCCTGACATATTTCATTCTATGTGTAATGCCTCCCTGTCTATCTTCAGGAAACCAATAAAGACCCGCCTCTTCAAAGATCATCTTCTATCCTACTCACCCCTCTGCTTCCCTTTATCTCTTTGACATCACCACTGATTCGGACTAGTGGTTATTGTCATGGTAAATGGTAAATGGCATGTACTTATATAGCGCCTTTATTCAAGTTAGGAGACTTGACCAAAGCGCTTTACACTACATTCATTCACCCATTCACTCACACACTGATGGTGGCAAGCTACATTGTAGCCACAGCTGCCCTGGGGCTCACTGACAGAAGCAGGGCTGCCGTACACTGGCGCCACTGGGCCCTCTGACCACCATCAGTAGACAATGCAGGTGAAGTGTCTTGCCCAAGGACACAACGACACTGAAAGTCGGAGTCGGGGCTTGGACTGTCAATCCTTCGATTTCAGGGCAAACTCCTACATCCACTGTCGCCCCATAATGATGATAACTTTGACATTGTGTCTACTTCGTAGGTCGCTATGAATAAAAGTAAACATAAACAATAAAATTCTATAGACATTCAATTTTTCTACATTTTATAATGAAATAGTGAATTCGATATTCAGTTTTTGTCCTTTTATTTGTACTTGTATAGTCATTGAAGACGATGTGTCCACTTACATTAGCCGCCATGCAGAGCGAAGCAGTCATCAAGTCGTCGATACAGAAAATTCAAAAGTATGAACCCTCGTGAACTTCTGCTCCAGCTTGCTGCTTTTCTGCAGCTGGGTCAGGCTGTCCACAGTGGTAACTGTGAATGACCCGCACTAGTTCAGGACCACATAGTCATAAACCTGGCATTAATATAACAAAATGGTTTCTAATCAACCCCTTTTAGTAGTGTTGCAGCGATACAAATATCAGTATCAGGTGGGGCCCCGATCCAGCACTAAAATGATGGTATCAGTATCGGTGATTACGGACAAATAGGGCACCGATACCATTTAGAGAGCCAAAAGTTTATACTATTGTCACCCATTCCATGTAGGCAATAAAAAGTTCTACTGGATTCACTAGGTATCAGTATTTTTCCTGCTTCACAAAGGAAGGCAGCAGCTTGACAAAAATTTTAAGAGAAGTAGAGCAAAACTGCTGGAAAGATCTAACAAACGATACAAGACACAAAAGAAACTAAAAAAGGGGGAGACTACAGACTAAACTAGCAAGCAAGAGCAAAACCCTTAAACAATGAAAAAAATTATCCTGTATGGCAAGATCTAAATAACAAAACTAATAACAGGCTTCAAGCAAATAAATAAAGTAAACTTAATCCTAAGGAAAAACTTAAAAAAAATAAAAGCTCATAGTTAACAAAGACATTAGAGAAAAATAACATAAAAAAGTAAGTCAAAGACTCCAGAGAAGCATGAAATGTATGTAAAATGACTAGTTGGTCAGAGCGCAACTCTGCAAAGCCAGGTATCAGTATCCATTCAATTCAGTTTATTTCTATAGCGCCAATTCACATCACAAGCCATCTTAAGGAACTTTCCAGTTCAACCAGATCATCCAGTCAAATTTATTCAAAGTTTTCTATCTAAGGAAACCAGCTGATTGCATCGAATCATTGACTCAATGTATCGGGGCAACAAAATGGCATACTCTTTAGAGGTACTAATAAACACAGTCCTAAAAACCTTTTCAGAAAAAAAACTGTACTTTTAGTCTTTGCAAATATTCTAACAATATATGTTTTTGAAATATTTACCTTTATGATTTAATTTAATGCTTTGCACCCCTGCAGTTTTGTGTATCACTGAATGAAAAGACAACATTCACAGCCACATGTACTTTGCTTTGGAACAAAATATTTTCAATAATTTACATGAATTAGCTAAAAATTAGGGTGCAAATGAATGCAGTGAAACAATTCACAACCAGCATGCCACCGCAATATTTCACACATTTACAATATGTATGAAAATTTTATCAGGGTTAAAGACGTGTTATGCAGATCAGGCCATCCCTCCTCTACCGCAGCATGCAGGTCATAATTCACTGTTAGAGGAAAGCATATCATTATATTCAAACAGCAGCTCTGTAAAGCTCAGCTATTCTTCTGATGTTTGCGTTTTTGCTTTACATCAAAGCCACAGTAGACTATTAATAGGGTTGCTAATGGACTCTAATGCTAAAAAGTCACATCAGCACTCAGGTTTTGACGGTGTGGTGAATTTATAATGGAAGGAAGTGATCACAAAACCTAAGTACCTTCTAACTCTCCTTTAATTGTGGTTGCAACATAAAGTGTTATTGTAACATTGGGGATAACAAGCTTGGGATTGATGATATGACTCAGGTGGGTGCTAAACTGACACATTTTAAATCCTGATGTGGTGGACTTCTACTTTACCGGCTCAGCTTCTCCAACACTAACTCACCTAAAGTGAGAAGAGGCTTCTAACTGCAGGTCATCATGCTTTTCTTTTCCTTCATAGGGAATGCCATCCAAGCCTTTGGGAACGGAACAGACATTGGGATGAGGCCGCCGATATCCCCCCTCCAGACCACCACCTCCATCACTACACCCTACCAAAAGAACCGTGAACGCAACCCCAACACCATAGACAACCAGATTAATGCTGACCCCAGCCTCTTACACTTCTGTGGAAACTTACAGGTGAGACCAGCAAGTTACAGTTAAAATCTAAGGATTATTAGAATTTACACTTTGATTACTGAAATCACAGTTTTATTTATGTCTGATTATTTTATACATAGATATAAAAGGACCATTACATCATTTTATATTTTACCATACCATTTTTTTTTGGTATTTCAGAAAACCTTTTTAAATGGACAATAAGGACGTGATGGATATTATTGGAATATTAAGTGTTGTTCATTAAATAAGTAGTGTATCTAATGACGTGTTTTCATGGCCTATAGTGCTGTGTTTTGGAATAAAAGATGTAAAATGCTTTTTGCTTCTTTGTTATAAGCAAGTACTTAGTACATGCATTACTAAATATTTTACATTCAATTATCAACAGACTATCATGGAAATAAATATCAGGGAGTAAAGAGAGTCTATAAGTGAACCAGAGTGGTGAAATGATTGTTCACAATCCTCATTGTAGATTGTTTTCCCTTCATCCCTCTTTTATAACTAAGAACATATGAACATTAGTGACTATTGTTCCGTAAAATTGCTTACTTTCAATCCCACTTTCTTAAGACCTATTTAAAATAAATCAAACAATAAATAAGATATAAAAACATAAAACAACTGTATGGACATCAGTTTTAAAGCACAATAGTGATAAAATGTGTTATAATATGAGCTAAAAGATCTTCATTTATAAAATACCAGTTTAACTCATGCCCTGATTGTTACGTACACTTTTTAGAATGAGGAACATTTAGAATGACCCCTTAGAAGGAAATAGAGGTGATCTGAAAGTTGGGATGGCAATCTGAGATGTATGAGCGTTACAGAGGCAGGGGACCAGTTTCACCTGTGAAAGAAAACTGAATAGTGGGGCATGAGTTCAACAAAGGCTGAACGCAGGTGAACTGACCTGGAAGACTAGAGGCAAACAAGAATGACAGCATCTGAATGAGGTTAAACTGATTTAAAAAAAAAGGAAAATTTTAAGAGAAGTAGAGCAAAACTGCTGGAAAATCTAACAAATCATACCAGACACAAAAGAAACTAAAAAAAGGGGACTACTGACTAAATTACAGCATTTGCATTTAATTTTATTTCTTTATTTTATCACCAATTCTTAATCTAAAGTTTTCCTTTAAAAGATGTAAATAAATTGTCTTTGGTTTGCAGAGAGATGAATTGTGAAACCATACAGTGAGCAAACTGACTCATTTAGAGCCACCAGCAGACACACAAAAATAAAAAATCAGTGACAGACGCCAACTCTGTCCATACTGATAATTAGCTTTGGTGGGGCAGTGATGCGTATGCGCTGTCAGTACTGCTCTGATAGCGTGCCAACTACAAGTTAGAGAGCTGCTGAGCTTCTCCAGGGTGTGTTTGTGTGCGCTGGTCAATTTTATGTGTAGATATGCCCGCATCAAGAAAAATGTTGTCAAAGCTGACATTCTGTAGAGACAGACCAGTCAGAAGGTCGAGTTTCCCTCTTGATCTCTGCTTTTACCCCAACCCCACTACAAACACGCTAACATGCATTCTAAATATTAACCACAGACGCTGTCAGCCAACAAGTGTCAGACAAGTTCTCAAAGTGTTTGCATCATGTTTCAGGGACAGTTACAGATTTTTGAAATTAATCAGAAGTATATTCTCTATCAGGGGTCAAGCTACTGTAGGAGCTTTTAAAAGGAGCCAATAAAGAAAACTCAGACTTCCTCATATAAACAAAAAAGCCTCCCTTTATGAACAACAAAATAAAAGTTGCTAACACTATAATTCGGTTTTAGGATTTAGACATCAATCTGTTTGCCGTGCTTCATTGAAGCATCACATGATTCCTGTTTTTGCCTTTTCTTCTTCTATGCAACAATTTTTCTCTCAAAAAAAAAAGTCATGTCTCCTTTGTTTTATAGACTTAAAAAAATAACATTTTTAAATCAATTAGAGCCAGAAGGACCTGCATTGTATAAATATGGGTACCTCATGCTAATGTGACTTTTAGAGCGGTCAAAATTAAGCAGATCTGGAGCGGACAAACATGAGGCATGTATATGTATTTTAATCCTCTGACCTTTAAGATCTTTGTTTTCCACTGAGCTCGGTGGTTGGATATAATAACATATTTCAAATACATGCAAAGATATGTATGTGCTTTGAGAAAAAAACAACAGGTTTTTGCAGAATATCTAGTTTTAAGGACTAGTATTCGACTTAAAGGCAGCTGGCATTGTTTGATTTCCAGCTGTTCTATTGGCTGTTGTACATTTAAATAAATGCTTCATCTCCTATTGTCCTGATAAAGCAGATGTATAGTCTGATGATTTAAAAACTGGAGAGAGGAAGCTGTCAATAATTTACCACTACATAACAGTATATATACTGGAAAAAGATTTAGAGATAAGTACAAAAGTTTTAGATTAGATTAGATTAGATAAGCTTTATTGATCTCACAGCAGAGAAATTCACTGGTCACATATTGACATAGTAATTAAAGAAGGTGCAAACAAGGAGGAAAAAGGTGCATTAAGAATAACAATATACACTCACCGGCCACTTTATTAGGTACCCCATGCTAGTAACGGGTTGGACCCCCTTTTGCCTTCAGAACTGCCTCAATTCTTCATGGCATAGATTCAACGCGGTGCTGGAAGCATTCCTCAGGGAGTTTGGTCCATATTGACATGATGGCATCACACAGTTGCAGCAGATTTGTCGGCTGCACATCCATGATGCGAATCTCCCATTCCACCACATCCCAAAGATGCTCTATTGGATTGAGATCTGGTGACTGTGGAGGCCATTTGAGTACAGTGAACTCATTGTCATGTTCAACAAACCAGTCTGAGATGATTCCAGCTTTATGACATGGCGCATTATCCTGCTGAAAGTAGCCATCAGAAGTTGGGTACATTGTGGTCATAAAGGGATGGACATGGTCAGCAACAATACGCAGGTAGGCTGTGGCGTTGCAACGATGCTCAATTGGTACCAAGGGGCCCAAAGAGTGCCAAGAAAATATTCCCCACACCATGACACCACCACCACCAGCCTGAACCGTTGATACAAGGCAGGATGGATCCATGCTTTCATGTTGTAGACGCCAAATTCTGACCCTACCATCCGAATGTCGCAGCAGAAATCGAGACTCATCAGACCAGGCAACGTTTTTCCAATCTTCTATTGTCCAATTTCCATGAGCTTGTGCAAATTGTAGCCTCAGTTTCCTGTTCTTAGCTGAAAGGAGTGGCACCCGGTGTGGTCTTCTGCTGCTGTAGCCCATCTGCCTCAAAGTTCCACGTACTGTGCTTTCAGAGATTCTCTTCTGCCCACCTTGGTTGTAACGGGTGGTTACTTGAGTCACTGTTGCCCTTCTATCAGCTCCAACCAGTCTGGCCATTCTCCTCTGACCTCTGGCATCAACAAGGCATTTCCACCCACAGAACTGCCGCTCACTGGATGTTTTTTCTTTTTCGGACCATTCTCTGTAAACCCTAGAGATGGTTGTGTGTGAAAATCCCAGTAGATCAGCAGTTTCTGAAATACTCAGACCAGCCCTTCTGGCACCAACAATCATGCCACGTTCAAAGTCACTCAAATCACCTTTCTTCCCCATACTGATGCTCGGTTTGAACTGCAGGAGATTGTCTTGACCATGTCTACATGCCTAAATGCACTGAGTTGCCGCCATGTGATTGGCTGCTTAGAAATTAAGTGTTAACGAGCAGTTGGACAGGTGTACCTAATAAAGTGGCCGGTGAGTGTATATACAGTATATTAAGATAAATATGGTGCAAGTGCACATGTATTGCACACAATGAAAAACAAAATAAAAATAAGAAATAAAAAATAAAAATACGAGGTAGTAGCACAGAGCTTTGAGGTGACATATGTACAATCCGGATGGCTTATATACAGGTGGATTTACTTTTATGTTAAAGTGTAGTAGGTAAGGAACAACGGTGAGGTAGTGGTGTGACTATTCTATTCACATATATTGCACATTCAGCATATTGCACAGAATATTGCACAGTCAATAAATAACAAACTCTAATATAGCTGCACAGTGGTTTTTACAGGAGTTATTGTGGTTATAGTGCATTATTATAGAGTCTGGTGAAAATGTAAATTTTTTTGTTCCATTGGCAAAATGTCTCATTTACCTCCTCAATCTAAGAACAAAGGTGCTTATTTTAAGAAAAAAATGACATCTATTGATTTTTTTCCCCAAAGTATTTACAAATGTCTTTACTTGAGAATTTAGTGTAATTCAATTCGTATAACAATAAGATTAATGTAGAACATTAACCTTAAATATGTAAATACCTACATATTCAGTACTATAGTGCAACGATGCAGTCCAAACATGATCTGAGTCCAACCCTGCAGATTCTGCTCTGAAAACACTCCTCTGGGAATATGGTGGCTGAGAGACGCCGAGGCAATGCTGCTCCGCTGCTATTATGCACGGTTTTCAGATGCAGTGGAACCAAAGCGTTAGACCCTAAATTCCACATTCTCTCCCCTTGCTCCCCTATGTACACACACCATCTGATCAATGTCCTTTACCATCAAAATATGGAGCAACTCCAGTTTCCTGTTCCACTCCGGTGTACCTTTCGCACATGCCCCCTTAGACCTTAAAGAACCTGGAGAGCAGGTCGATGGTGTGCCGCTGATTTAGTAGGACACATGGAAGCAGTCTACCACTGACCTGATGCAGACAGGATGTGGAATCATGCAGCAGCTGTGCTGCGGGAAATTGCTGTGTCATTTTAAATGGACAGAAATCAAGAAATTGTCTTAAACTTTTACGAGATTTCATAAGAAAAGAAAAGGAACGGCTTATATATTCTCATTTTTCATTTTAGTTTTAATTATTTTTAAAGGGACACTAACCTAAAACAGAACGAAACAGGAAGTGATACAGAGCAGACAGACCTTCAGGCCAAAACCTAATAATCAGCCGTGGTTATACTTAATATGGTTGACTACCAAAACAAACTGTTTTA